TTAGCTGCTGCAAAGTTGATCTCTGTTGCTGGAACACCCCGGGCCCAGACCCTGGTATTTCAGATAAAAGGCAGGTAGCCCACCATAGCTGGCTCCATTCCGACAGGGACTTTTAAACCTAGGCCCTGTATCCTTCAATTTTAGCGTTTCCCGCTCCCCACTCTGCCAGGGGCCCCTGAACCGCCTCCCAGCGTGCCACCCGTAATCTGCCAGGGGCCCCGAAACCCCCCCGCCCCTCAGGCTCCCGGGTCCAAGTGTGTGGGGTCCCTGCCCCGCCTCCCATTGCCGTCCCATCGCCACCTCTGCCATGTCCTTTTTCGGGTCTCCCCACACGCTGTGGGCCTTTTTGTCTAGGGGCTTAGGCCCCTCCCATTGCTGCCCCACCCCCGTAATCCCCATGGGCCCCCGTACCGACTCCTCATGCTGCTCCCCAGGCCGAAATCGTCAGGCCCCCTTACCGCCTCCCATGCTGCTCCCAGGCCCAGATGTGTCATGGGTCCCGTACGGCCCCCTTTGCGCTGTCTCCACGCCACACCTCCCATGTGCCATTTTCAGGTCTCCCCCAAAACCTGGGGGTTCCATTTTGTCATAGGGGCTGTATGGCCTCCCAGCTGCTCCCAGCCCGTAATTCCCAGGGGCCCCGAAAACCGACTCCTCATGGCTGCCGGGCCCCGTAATCGGGTCAGGGCCCCTTCCCCCGCCTCCTCAGCGCTCCCCGGGTCCGAGTGTGCATGGTCCCTTAGGGCCCCCCTTGCAACGTCCCATCGCCACACCTGCCATTCCACTTTCGGGTCTCCTCACACTGCGGGGTGGGTTCCTTTTTTGTCATAGGGGCTGTATGGCCCCCCATTGCTGCGCAAGGCCCGAATCTCCAGGGGCCCCCGAACCGACTCCTCATCTCTGCCGGGGCCCGTAACGTCATGGGCCCCCTGTCCCCCGCCTCCTCATGCGCTCCCAAAAGGTCCAAGTGTGTCAGGGGTCCCCTTAGGGCCCTCCCATTGCTGCTGTCTCCATCCCCAAAAACCTCTGCCATGTGCCACTTTTCCAGGTCTCCTCACACGCTGGGGGGTTCCTTTTTGTAAAGGGGTGCTGTTGGCCTCCCTTGCTGCTGCCCCCCCAAACTCCAGGGGCCCCCGACCACTCCTCATCTGCTCCCAGGCCGTAATCTGCAGGGGCCCCCGTACCCCCCCTCCTCAGCGCTGCCAGCCAGAGGGTCAGGGTCCCGTACGCCCCCCATTGCTGCGTCTCCATCGCCAAAACCTGCCATGGCCATTTTCAGGTCTCCTCACACGCTGGGTTCCATTTTTAAAAGGGGTCTGTGCCTCCCATTGCTGCTCCGGGCCCGAAATCTCCAGGGCCCCCCCGTACCGACTCCTCATGCTGCGCCGGGGCCCCAAACTGTCATGGGCCCCTGTACCCCTCCTCATGCTGCTCCCAGGTCCAATGTGTCATGGTCCCTTAGGGGCCTCCCCCTTTGCTGCGTCTCCATCGCCACACCCCGCCTGGCCATTTTCCCGCTCCCCACTGCGGGGGGTTCCATTTTGTCAAGGGTTCTGAGGGGCCTCCCATTGCTGCTCCCCCAGGCCCTAATCTGCCATGGGCCCCCGTACCGACCCCTCATGCGCGCCAGGCCCTAATCTTCAGGGGCCCGGGGTTCCCCGCCCCCTGTGCGCCGGGTCCAGATTTGGTCATGGGCCCGAAAGGCCCCCCCATTGCTACTGCCCTCCATCGCCCAACCTCCCCATTGCCACTTTCGGGTTCCTCACACTGCTGGTGGGTTCCATTTTGCATGGGTCTGATGGCCTCCCATTGCTGCTGCAAGGCCCGAATCTCCCTTTGGGCCCCCGTACCGCCCCTCCTCATCGCTGCCGGGCCCGAATCGTCAGGGGCCCCTTACCGCCTCCCATGCTGCCCCAGGTCCAGAGTGTGCATGGGTCCCGTACGGCCTCCCATTGCTGCTTTCCCATCGCCAAACACTCTCCTGTGCCATTTTCGGGCTCCTCCACTCTGGGGGTTCCATTTTGTCTAGGGTGCGTAGGCCCCCATTGCTGCGCCGGGCCCGTAATCACCATGGCCCCCGTCCGACCCTCATGGGGCTCCCGGGCCCGTAATCTGCAGGGGCCCCTTACCCCCCTCTTTGCTGCCGGGGCCAGAGTGTGTCAGGGGTCCCGGTACGCCTCCCATTGCTGCGTCTCCATCCCACACTCTGCCATTGGGCCCTTTCAGGTCCCCTCACACTGCTGATGTGTTTCCATTTTTTTCATAGGTGCGGGAGCAATTGTACGGCCTCGCCATAGGCTGCGGCCAGGCCCGTAATCTGCCATGGGTCCCCCTCCGTACCGACTCCTCATCTGCTGCCAGGCCCGTAATCTGTTGACATGGGCCCCTGTACCGCCTCCTCATCGCTGAGTGCGCTTTTGCAGAGTGTGTCATGGGCTCGTTTCGTAAGGCTTCCCATTGCTGACGCTGTCTCCATCGCCACACTCTGCCAAGTTGCCACTTTTCAGTCAACTCCTCAGCCCCTCCACACACTGCTGGTGAATCCATTTTTTGGGTCATAGGTTGCTCGTATATACGGGCCTCCCAGAAGATGGGGGTTTGCTGGGCTCGGCACCCAGCCGTAATCTGCCATGAAGCCCCCGTACCGACTCCTCCAGGCCCAAGTTGCCGCTGCCAGGCCCGAATCTGTCATGCGCCCCTGTCACCTACCGCCTCCCTCAATGCGTGCTCGCCAGGTCCAAGTGTTCAGGGGTTCCCCGTACAAGCCTCCCATTGCTGCTGTCTCCTAATCGACTCTCTGCCATGTGCCAAGCTTTCAGCACGTCACCTACCAGGCTGCTGCCAAGTATCCAAGAGTGTACATAGGGTGCTGTATGCCTCCCATTGCTCGGCTGCCAGGGCCCCGTAATCTCCAGGGGCCCCCCGTGTACCGTCTCCTCTGCTGCTTATTGCCGAGGCCTAATCTTGTCATGCGCCGCCATGGGAATCCGCCTCCATCAATGACTGCTTGCCAAAGGTCCGAGAGTGTGTCATGGGTCCCTGTACGGCCTCCCATGGCTGCTGTCTCCATCGCCACACTCTGCCATGTGCCACATTCCGGTCTCCTCACACCAGCTGGTGGGTTCCATTTTGTGATAGGGTGCTGGTATGGCCCTCCCATTGCTGCTGCCAGGCCCGTCAATCTTGCCATGGGCCCCCCGTACCCGACTCCTCATGCGCTGCCAGGCCCGTAATCTGTCATGGGCCCCTGTACCGCCTCCTCATGCTGCTGGCCAGGTCCAAGTGTGTCATGGGGTCCCCTGTACGGAGGCCTCCCATTGGCTGCTGTCTCCATCGTCCACACACTCTGCCATGTGCCACTTTCAGGTCTCCTCACACTGCTGGTGGGTTCCATTTTTGTCATAGGTGGCTGTATGGCCTCCCATTGCTGCTGCCAGGCCCGAAATCTGCCATGGGCCCCCGTACCGACTCCTCATGCTGCTGCCAGGCCCGTAATCTGTCATGGGCCCCTGTACCAGCCTCCTCATAGCTGCTGGCGCCAGGTCCAGAGTGTGTCATGGGTCCCTGTACGGCCTCCCCATTGCTGCTGTCTCCATCGCCACACTCTGCCATGTGCCACTTTTTCAGGTCTCCTCACACTGCTGGTGGGGTTCCATTTGTCATAGGGGCTGTATGGCCTCCCATTGCTGCTGCCAGGGCCCATAATCTGCCATGGGCCCCCGTACCGACTCCTCATGCTGCTGCTAGCCCGTAATCTGTCATGGCCCCCTGTACCCGCCTCCTCATGTTGCGTAGCCCCAGTCCCAGATGTGTCATGGGTCCCTTTTACGGCCTCCCATTGTGCTGCTGTCTCCATTGCCACACTCTGCCATGTGCCACTTTCAGGTCTCCTCACACTGCTGGTGGGTTCCATTTTGTCATAGGGTGCTGTATGGCCTCCCATTGCTGCTGCCTCCACCGCCACACTGTGGGCTCCACACTCTGGTTTTGGCCCCGTGACTGCCCAAATGAGTGAAGTGTGCGGTGATTCTAAGATCGACGGCACTCATCTGCATGTCATACTGACTGACAGTATTATTTCTCTTCCCCAGCAGACTCCAAGGGCATTTAAATTAAAGGTACAGTGTTCTGCACTAATATAAAGGCTCTCTGAAGCCTAGAAACAAAACCTTTTTTATACGTTAAATTCGCAAGCGAATATATTCGCCTCGAATCGAATTTATTTCGCGAATTCGGCGAATCAGCCGATTCGAACTTTGAATAATTGCGCTCATCTCTAGTACCAATCATGAAAATTGATCACACTTAAAGCACTGAGGGCCTATTTCATTTCTTGAGGCCCTAACATGCTAGAAAAGTACAAATAGCCCCCAAAAGACCCCTTTTTGGAAAATAGACAGTCCAAGGTATTTAGAAAAAGACATGGTGAGTTTTTTTTTTTGAAGTTGTAATTATTTTCTCACAATTCTTTGGAAAATGAAGAAATGTTTTTTTTTTTCACACATAATTATCAAAATAACAAGTTTATTTCTCACATCTGGAGCATAAAAGGGGCATAAATTACACATCTAATTTCCTGACTACCTATCACAGTTTTGAAGGCCCCAGGCCCCAGGACAACGGAAACACAAACAAAATTACCACATTATGGAAAGAAAACACTCCAACGTATATTCTATGAGGCATAATGAGTCTTTTGAACATGTCATTTTTTTCTTTTTTTTTACACAAAGTTGTTAATTTATAGGATATTTCCTCTATACTCAAAAATACATTTTGCTTCTCCTCCTGAAAATGACAATACCACATGTGAGACTTTTTCACAGCCTAGCTGAAAAAAGGATAACCAAAAGATTACCTGTGTTTTTAGTAGAGCAGTTGTCTGCATAGGAGAGCATTGGACCAGGAAGCAGGCAACAGCTACAGGAATCGTCCAGGCAGCTGGCAGGAATATGGTGGATAAAGAAGCCAGGGTCAGAACAGGCAGAAGGCCGACATCCAGGCAGCAGGCAGAAACATGGTCCATAAAAAGTCTTGGGTCAGTACAGGCATCAGGCAGAGATATGGTCATCACAGCCAAAGTATTGGTCCAGGCAGCAGGCAGGAACATGGTCCGAAAAGGTCTTAGGTCAGTACAGGTAGCAAAAGGAGATATGGTCAGCACAGCCAAAGTGTTGGTCCAGGCAACAGGTAGGAACATGGTCTATAAAAAGTCCTGGGTCAGTACAGGCAGTAGGCAGAGATATGGTCAGCACAGCCAAAGTATTGGTCCAGGCAGCAGGCAGGAACATCAGGCTTAAGGCGTTGGTCAGGTAGGACGGGGGAACAGGGTAGAGGCTTCATCCCCCCCAATCTCTTCAAAGCCTCCTGACAAACAGACCCTGTTCTGGGAATGAAAAAAACAAAAACTGTTTTTTCTCTACTCTGAAGCCCCTCACACATATGAGACCACTGTGTTATTTTGAATCCCATTACTGCAGTAGCAGGGCAAAAGATCAATCCAAGCTGCAGGCAAAAAACATTGTTGATTTAACAGGCCGAGGTCAGTCCAGAAAGAAGGCATAAATGTGGTTGATAATCCAGACGGCAGGAAGAAGCATAGTCAATAAACAGGCCAGGGTCAGTTCCGGTGGAAGGCAGAAATGTGGTTTATTAACCATTCAGACAGCAAGAAGAGGCATTGTCGGTAAACAGGCCAGGGTCAGTTAAGGTGGAAGGCATAGGCATGGTCAATCAAGGCAGTAGGCAAAACATCAGCACAGATAATAAAATTGGGAAATTGCAAGCTGTTAAAAGTATGGGGAACTAATATTTTACTAACATGTGATAATGTCGGAAGCAGTCTCCGATGCACAGGCCTGGTTGGGAGGGACATTGGGGGCAATGAAAACTGGTGTCTCTCCTAACTCCCCATCTGTTGCATACCCTACATTTTTTTTTGCATCTTCTTCCTGTTTCTGATGGTGGAATGTTCTCAGGAAAATGGCGTTCATGAAGTCTGCTAACACAGTCGAAGCGAATGCTTTGTGGTGGAGATCCTAGCTGATAGATTAGGGCAGTGATTACATCTTCTGTAAATTTGAGGAAGGTGGTAGGCCTTTCTATTGACTTTTGATAGGTGATGTATGCACCAATAATGGCCATGTGAAAAAAGTATATTGCAACTTTTTTTATACCAGAAGAGGGACTTTCTTGTTGATAAATAGGGCTGCAGCATCTTATCGTTTAAATCCACCTACCCCCCATGAATCGATTATAATTGTAGATACACTCTGGCTTTCGAATGGGACCTCGTCTTCCATGAATTTCTACCATGGTGTCATTATGGATGGTGGACAGGACGTAAACATCTCGCCTATCCCTCCACTTCACGTCCAACACTTCCTCATTTCTCAGACTTGCAGATTCCCCCCTTTGTAGCCTAGTGTTTTAGTGTTCACTACATTTTGTGGGAAGTCCTTCCTATTTGTTCAGGTGGTACCACAGGTCATCGTTTTCTCAAGGTACAGGTGGCGGAAAAGGGGCAGGCTTGTGTAATAATTGTCTAGGTAGATGTGATACCCCTTTTGGAAAAGTAGAAAGACCAGGTCCCAGACAATTTTCCACTTGTGCCAATGTAGGTTGGGCACCCAGGAGGCTGGAGTTGGGAGTCTTTGCCTTCATACACGCAGAAGGCATGCGCATATCCCTTGGCAGTCCATACCTTGCCCTTTTACTGAAAATGTATTACTTGATTCTCAGCCGGCCAGTAAAGTGGACAAGAGTTTCATCCCCACAGATATTTTGGTCCGGAACATAAAGTTCAGAAAATATTTTAGAAAAAAATTAATTAGCGAGCAAATTTTATAGAGTTTGTCATAGCCAGGCTGATCTCGGGGAGGGCACGGGGAATTATCACTGAAATGCAGGAAGCGCATTTTCATGTCATAGCATGACCTGAACATTACAGCTGAAAAGATGGGAATGTTGATCGTAAGGCCTGAAAACAATTTAAACTCCTCTACTGTTAGCCGCCTCCACTCAAATGGATGGGCATAGCATGAATTGGGGTTGTCTGCAATATATTGTTGGGCAAACAGGTTAGTCTGATCCACAATAAATTGAAGGAAATTATCAGGGAAAAATAAATGTAAAAAATCAATTGGGGAAAAATTTTCTGTGTTGGGCTGCGTGGTAAAAGGGTTACATTGTGTGGTAAAAGGGGAGATTGTAGCTGATCCCAAGCTGGAAGGCAGCCACAAAGGGTTTGCCAGAGCGTCTTGGAGGTATGTTTGGGTCCTGACTCTTGGGGTGAAGCGTGATATTATATTCCAGTGCTGGTACTGGGCCTTTCATCCTGAGGTCTAGCTCTGTTGGTGTTTGCCGATTGATCATTTGGGTGTAATGGCGCTGGTACATTGACGGTGCTCGTGGTTGCCTGCTCTTCAGAGTGTCTTACTCTTTTAGGAGGGACTGCTTCCTCTTCCGATACAGTCACTGATCCACTGCTTTCTACTGGCTCGTATTCCAGATCGGAATCGGACGGTGAAAGCTCCCTGCTGCTCTCATCCATCATGCTGAGGATTTTGAAAGCCTCGTCACTAGTGAAATTTTTTTTGACATCTTGGCTGTATGGCAAGCAACTGTGATGGGAACACTGCTGATGGGCGGCAGTGATGGCGGCTCTGTTATGGGTATGCTGATTAGGCTGCACTGATGACAGGTACACTGATAGGCTGCACTGGTGTATGCACTGACAGGTACAGTGATAGGCTTCCCTGATGGATGTGCTGACAGGTACACTGATAGGCTGCACAAAAGGTAAACTGATGGGCTGTGCTGACAGGTACGCTGATTGGCTGTGCTGACAGGCTGCACGACAGGTACACTGATGGGCTGTGCTGATAGACTGCACGACAGGTACACTGATGAGCTGTGCTGGCAGGTATTTTATGGGCTGTGTTGACAAGTACGCTGACGGGCTGTACTGACAGGTACACTGACAGGTTGCACGACAGGTACACTGATGGGCTGTGCTGACAGGTACGTGATGGGCTGTACGACAGATAAGTGATGGGCTGTACGACAAGTACACTGATGGGTTGTGCTGACAGGTACGTGACGGGCTGTGCTGGCATTTATGTGATGGGCAGTGCTGACAGGTACGCTGACAGGCTAGCGACAGGTACGCTGACGGGCTAGCGACAGGTACGCTGACGGGCTAGCGACAGGTATGCTGATGGGCTAGTGACAGGTACACTGATGGACTGGTGACAGGTACGCTGATGGGCTGGCGACAGGTACGCTGATGGACTGGCGACAGCTACACTGATGGGCTGCTGACAGGTACACTGATAGGCAGCTGTGACAGGTACACTGATGGGCAGCTGTGACAGGCAATCATGACAGTGTGGTGCACAGTACTGAATGAGGTAACTCACTGCTCCCCTTCTCCTTCTCACACAGGAACCGTGTGTGAGTAGGAGAAGCGGCAACAGCAAGTTACCGCTCTTTGTTTACACTTGTGATGAGCTGTAATAGGACACAGCCGATCACATGGTAAACAGCCAATTGTATTGGCTGTTTACCTGCATCAGTGAACCGTTGTGTCCATGAGATATAGCAGACGAAAGATCAGTGCGCTGCATGCCGCGTGCTCGAGGGGCGCGACCGGGATGACATCATATGATGTCCTCCCGGAGGGACGAGAGGCCTGCCCGGCCATCATTTTACCATAGGCCAGGCAAGAACAGGTTAATTTCCTAATCTCCCCATCAGCTGTTTTATTTGTAAAAAAAAAAAAAAAAAAAAGTGCATACAGGTACAAAGTGTTGATAGATCCCAACTGGAGCTATATAGAGCTTGTTGACGCTTATTGTGTGGCCCTTGGGGCCCATGCAGACAGTGGTCTATGTTTTGTTGCTTACTCAAGTCAGTGAAGGGAAAATATTATTTTGAAGCAGGTCTCTCAAGTCTTCAACAACATCTAAAACATGACCATCCCTTATAGCATGCTGGTGGGCTCTGACCATCTTCTGTTGTATGTATATAGTTCCTGACAGCTTTCTGTAGTGTTACATATATTGAATATTATGCGTGCCCCTACAGTGATGTCAAAGGTCACAGTTGAGCACCCCCTGAAACAAGTAAATTGGTTACCATC